AAAACTAACAGCTTTGTATCAAGTCCACCAGTCTTCAAATGGATGGAGACAAAAACCTGGACTGGTCTTAGCGGTTAGCAGTAGCTTCTAGTGGTTTAGCATTAGCAGTTTAGTTAGTGGATTAGTGTTTAGTGAACCTATCATTTTGGTTAGCCGTGCCCAGAGGTGTAAAGTAACTAAGTACAAATACTTTGTTACTGTACTTAAGTAGAAATTTTGGTTATCTGTACTTTACTTAATTATTTTTCAGCCTACCTTTTACTTCTACTCCGTACATTTTCACACAATCATCTGTACTTTATACTTCTTACATTTTTTTAAAGGGTAAAAACTAGAAAGTATACAATGTATATATTTATATGAGAAGTATAAATATATACCATTCTGACACCGTATGAGTTTGTACACAATCCATCCCAGCTGCACACCTTTAAAAATACATACTTTTGGAGACGTTACCTCCCAATAAATGTCATTTTGGAAAATCTAACCGCTCACTTTTACTCAATACTTTTACTTTTAATACTTAAGTACATTTTATGTCAGAAATTAAGTAGAAAATAAATCTGACGCTTTAAGACTTTTACTCAAGTAATATTCTTAGAGAAGACTAACTTTTACCAAGGTAATTTTATGATAAGATACATATACTTTTACTCAAGTATCACTTTAAGGTACTTTATACAACACTGGCTGTGCCCACCATTGGGAAAATGTTTCCATAGAAGTGCTCCTAAATGTACAGGAAGTGCTACAGTCAGCTGCTGCTGTGATTACAAATAACCAAAGAAGTCTGTGTTACTTAGTCCTAGCCTTCCTTGAAGTAAGGCTAAGACTTTTACAAATTATAAAGTTTTATCTCAATATCTGTAAAACTGACATTTATGAGTTTGCTAAAGCTAGTTAACTGTAGCGGATTAGACCCTAAATGTTGTGGAGGTCCATCGGTTTGGTGGCTAAGATGTCTGTTTTAATTTAAACCATATTTTAATGTATTTGATTAATAACTTGATCCATTTTGACATCTACAAATAAATAAATAAAATGAAATAAATCAGCCAAGGATCGACATGTTCCTAAAACATTCGGAGTCAGAACGGAGCACTGAAGAAGCTGACTGGTCCACTTTTCCTTCAGCTCATTTCACAACTGTTTCATGTTTTACTTCAGTAAATTCTTTAACGTAAATCAACATTTGACCAAATTTTGGACATGAGGTCATGAAGTAAAACGGATAAATCATCTGGAGGTGAACTCAATCTGTTTTTTTTCTTCTATTTGAAAATAAATCTCATTTAAAAACAGTCCTGATCTGATGTTTCCCTGAAAGGTTGAACAAGCTGAAGGAGTTCCAGTTGGAACATTGTCCTCTGGCGCCCTCTGTTGGCTAGAATTTATATCAAATAATCAATTCAACAAGATGAGGCTTTAAAACTGTAGTGATTTATTTCATGCTAAAAGCTCAATCAATAAATATAAACAAACTGTAATAAATATAAATCAGTCAGAAAAAATAAAAAAAACAACAAACCAGCAGAAGAACTCAAGTATTAATAGAAACGTGGAGTTTAATTCATCAGTGATTCGACCGGCAGAGGAATCTGATATGGAGATTATTAGATTAACTGTTTCGTCGTTAGAGACGTAAATACATTCATTTCAAAATAATCTGACGATAATCCAGAACAGAAATGATGAAAATGTTCAGCAGGAGTTTGATGATTCAGTTTGATCTCAGCAAGAAACGACAGGAGTGTTTTTATAAACTGAAAATAACTTTTAAGAGCTAAAGAGCACGAGACGGGAAAATGTTTCCTTCCAGCGTCGAGTCCAATAATCCGAAGGTTCTGAAATGTTTTACAGGAACTGAAATCCAGAGAACAAACCATTTGATTTGTTTACATCTAAAGATCAGGATGCATGAGGGGGAAATAAAGTGCAGAAAACGTCCCGCACCTGCAACAACACTTTGGTTTACCTTCACTCACACACACACACACACACACACACACACCTGACATATTAATGGTAAAAAAATGTCCTCATTCAGCAGTCAGCACACCTGGAGTTGCAGAGTTTTGACATCGTGATTAATCCATAAATCGTACCCTCGAGATTAAAAAAATCAGTTTACAGTTTTAGGAAATCTGTCAGAAAAACAAGCAGATCTGAAATAAACAAGTCGATAACGGATTAAAAAAAAATAAAATAAAAAAAAAACATTAACCGAAGTCCAGGAATTCATACCAAAGTGTCGCAGTTTCATCTATGTACGGTTCATCCTTTCAAAATAAAACAAAACAAAAAAATTCAGGTGTTTTTATTTACTAAATAAAAAAAATGACAACTGCTAAATTAATAAAGGCTACTTTGTTATTTTAATGTTTAAATCTTACCATGAACAAAGTTATTTAAGTTATTTAGTGAATCTTTAGAACCGTTTCTGGTTTTAATCCGTCTTTCTATAAAACAACCGTTGATTTTATTTTGGATTTGGACTGAAACAAAAATCACACTGTGATTTTATCAATTAAATTCTTTTTACATTTTTACGTTCAGGTTTTTAAAAACAGAAAAAGAAAACATTTTTGAATTCAGATTATTTTCTTTTTGCGATTTTATTTTGAAAAGGAAAAAAAAGCAAAGAACGAACCGTACGCAGTTCCTCTTTATGTAAAATAAACCTCAGCTGGATTTAAAAGCATCAAAAGGTCCACTTCTTCTAAAGGAGGACTGGTCTGTGTCCACGTCCTCAGAGGACAGACACATCTGTCCACACATCAGTGTTAACACAACACGCAGCTCCTTATAAAGTGTCGTCCAGGAAGAGACGTGACACAATCTGAACGAGACCAGTTTTCTGTCCTTTGAGATTAACTGAACAGATTCTTAATCTGAGAAAAACCTAGAAATTTGTGAGACTTTTTTTACGTGACGAAAACCAGAAGTCTCAAAAAATAAAAAAAATAAATGTCTCAGGTGCAAACCCTCCCCCCAAAAAAACTATTTAAAAACAATTTTTGATTGAATTTATCGAACAGAGAAAAAGGGGCGGAGTTAATAAGAATTCTTCTTCTACCTTTCATTTCATTTCATTTATGATTTGTATTTTTATTGTGTATTGAATTTATGTTGTTTTTAAAGAAATGAATAAACTTAAAAAAAAAACTGGAGACATTTTAAAGATTAAAAGTTTAGACGGATGAACCGGGTCTCACGTTGTCATGGTAACAGCTGTGGCTTCCATTGGTTTTGAGTTTTTAAAACATTTTTTACATCTCAAAGTTGATCAAGTTCACAACAAGCGTTTGGTTCATTTAAACTTTATGAAAAAAATAAAAATTATTTTTTTTACTTTGATCTGATGCTTTTCCTATTTTACATAAATGACCTTCCAAAAATATTGAAGTATTCAAATATTTTAATGTATGCTGATGATACTGTTCTTTTTTTGTCTGATTTCAATACTGAATCTATTAATAGTCAGTTACAAGCAGATCTTCAGACATTTCATTAATGTTAAAAAACTGTGTGCATGTATTTTTCCTCACCCAGGAGACATTTCAGTATAACAAATCAACTCACTTTTTTAAACAAACCTCTTGATATTGTCACTACCTACAAATATCTTGGAATTACTTTGGATTCTCATTTGACTTATCGTTATCTTGTACAAGTCTTAACCACTAAGTTGAAACAGAAATTATACGTTTATTCAAAAATTAGATCCAATCTGACATCTTCTGTTTCAAATATCTATCTTCATGCCATTAAACTCTCAACCATGTCGTACTGTTTACCTGTTTGGTTTCTTACAACAAATGAAATCTTAGAACCCATAGTTAGGCTCTACAACAGGGCCTACAAAATTCATAAAAAACTTCCTGGTTGGACTCATCACTGTACAGTTTTTTCATTGTCTGATGCCTTGACTTTTCAGAATTATGTTTTGTATAGTGGTATTAATTTATATTTTCAGATCTTCCAAGGTGCCAATTATGGAACTCTCTGTGCATTGCTGCCCAAATCAAATTCTGGAAGTGGTCATTCAACTAGATCTGTTACAAAAGGACAACTGATATTACCAACTTTTAAAAACTGTTACGGCCAGAGGTCTTTCTTCTATGTTTATACTAAAGCATGGAATGACATTCCTCAAAACATAAAGTCCATTTCAAAACTACAGCCCTTTAAGAAGAATCTTGTCTGCCATCTGCTGGACACTTTTTGTTGTGCTCATATTTAGACGTCCTATTTTGCAAATGCTGCCTTTTTGAAATTTGGTATGCTTGTTTGTCTTTGTGTCTATGGTGTATAATGATGTGATTGTGATGCTGTAATTCTGAGTGTTTTATGTGCTGCAGAACAGGAACCTGCTGTAAAACAGCAATTATGCTGAGTCAGGCTTGATTTTTAATAATATTTTCCTGTTAAATKAATAAATCAAATCAAATCAAATCAATCTTTATCTGAGGACTTTTAAGGCTTCTTATACAAGCAAACAGCTGAAGGTTTAAACACTGATTTTAAACTGCCTGTGACATCAAATTTCTGTAATAAATGTGAATGTGTTTTTGGAGCGAGAACATTGATAACATGTTGCAAAACATATTTCACTCTGTTGAGACGAACAGTTGTTGAGATATTTGAATGTGAAGAAACAGGAAGTGATGTCAAAGGGAAATGTCTGAATGTAAACAGAGCGATGCTACAGTAAATAAATAATCTCTTGTTTCTTTAGATTATTTTTGAGTCACTATCAGAGTGGAAGAAGAGTTTAAATGATTGTTTCATTAAACAAAGACTAGAGAGTTTATTTTATTAAAGAGTTCCCTTTGATGTCACTTCCTGTTTGACTTTTCTGAGCCAAATTCTAGAGAAAATATGCCAGTTATGAGACAAAATGGGTAAAATCATGTGTACTATGCTAGTTTTCTTAAATATAAATGTTTTCTTTGACTTTTTGTATTTGAAGGTTAAGCATGTCACAGACCCTTTAATATTTTTATAGAGTTTTTAATAAAACTTTGATTTATTTCTTTAAAATACGCCGTCACCTCCCGACTCGGATGTTTAGAAGCTTTTATGTCCAATAAAAGTTTAAAGATCAAAGAAGCAGCTCGACTTTGATTTATCTGCTTTTCAGGTAAATCCACGTCATGGACTTTCAAACAAGAAAAAAAACAACTAAAACGTTAATATTGTGACGGTGGGTCTGGTTTGTTGTTTGGATCCGGTTCTGTTTGCTGCTTTTGTTTCTACGTTCCAGGAAAAGTGAGAGTTTTTAAACTGGAATCAAAAAAACCTGAGGAAGTTAGAAAAAAGAAGCGAGAACAACGTTACAATCAGTTACATCAGCTTGTTTTTCTGATTCTTTCCACTCTGATGAGGAACAAAAGCACCGGGGGGGACGGAGGGGTGCTTCTGCAGACGTCTTTAGAGGAACAAGTTAAAAAATCCTGAAGGCAAGCGTCGACACGGTTCTGGTCTCACCATAAACAAACTGTGCAGCGTGTTTACGCTCGTTAAGGCCAGCTCGTTAGGAGGGGCCGTCCTGGTGACGTCACAGGGAAATGTTTTGGTTTTAAGACGAGCAGAAGGTTTTTTTCTGCTTTTAAAGATAAAAATCAGTAGAACTTGTCGTCGATGCGGAAGTGCGGCCGGCTGACGTCGTCCGGGTTCAGGAAGACGGAGATGGACTTGCCGGGGTTCTCGGTGACCAGCTGCTGCAGCCGCTGGGCCAGCTTGTCCTCCGACGGTGAGATGATGCCGTTGCTGGGCTGGTGCCCCGGAGAGCCGTGACCGTTGGCCGTCAGCTCCTTCTTCAGCCGGCCCGCCTGCCGCGCCTGGTCCACGGCGGCGCGCAGGTGCTCGCCGGGGTCCGAGCGCACGTGGGCCAGCTTACGGGCCACCAGCAGGGCCTGGCCGTCGCTCAGCTGCTCCAGCATGTTGCACTGCGGCAGGAAGTAGTTGGGACAGTTCTTACCCAGGATGCAGTGGGCCAGGTCGTCCAGCAGGCCCAGGAGGAGGCGGCCGGGGGTGTCCGGGTCGGGGCAGGACAGGTAGGCGAGGGGCAGCCGGTCGCAGGCCCAGAACAGGAGGGTGCGCAGGTGGTAGAGGCTGAGGCCGGTCCGGGGTCGGGCCAGGATCCGGGCCAGGATGGCCTTGGCTGCTTGGAAGGCCTGAGCCATGGGGAAGGGGATGCACTTCTTCAGCTGCACCTGGTCCAGACAGGCAGGGGGCGGGGTTAGAGGGACAGGACCTGAACAGGAAGCAAGAAGAAGAAGAAGAAGAAGAGTCCTCACCTCGCTCCGGGAGAACACCAGCCTCCACTCCCGGTCGGGCCGGCCCCCCAGCGGGGAGCAGCAGGGCAGCAGGTAGAACCCGGAGATGGCCTCTTCCTCTGTGATCTTACCGTCCCAGAAGTGGTTGGCGGTGAGCCAGCCCTGGGCCACGGCGGGCCAGCCCCGGAACGACACCACGGGCAGGAGGTCGTACAGAACCCGACTGGACCCGGCCTGGAACAGACACTGCCTTTAGAACAGAGCGGCTGCGGTCCGAGTGCCGAGGCTCCGCCTCCGTACCTGCAGGATGATGGTGGTCAGGGGTCCGTTACGCTCCAGGCGCTCGGGGGAGGGGATTCCTCGCTGGGGGCTGCGCCTCAGCTCCTCCACCGCTTCGCTCACGACCCCCCAGAACCAGTCGGTCACCAGGGTGGGAGAGAAGTAGCAACCGTCCAGAGACTGAGGAGAGGCCAGCGAGGGCAGAGAGCCTTTACCTTCAAAAGAAAAGATGGATGAAGCCTGGTGTCTAACATCAAACATTTATACAAACACTGCAGGCTCGTTACTTTTTATACAGAAAATATATGTTATTTAAGACACAAAGCATTCTGGGTAAATGAGGAGAACATCAGCTTAGCCTGTTAGCTTTAGCGTTAGCCCCCGAGCTAATATATAACTTGGCACGAAAAGTAAAGAAATGAGTGTTTGGTAGATTATTAGTATCGATGCTTCTTGGTAATAAATCTTACATCGTTGTAAAGTCTGTTAATTTCTTATTTAAATGGTGCCACATTTGTAAGGAACATGCATTTGCGGGATGAGCAGTAGAGCTGAGTACGTGGGTTGCACACATGTAAGATTTGCCAAATCCTACAGTAAATGACAATGTTGAAAAGAAATATTTACCAATTAATTCTTCATATGTTCATTCATTTTTTTAATTTTATGAATTTATTGATAAATTTTCTTTTTTCCTTTTAATTTTTTTTGTATGCCCTAAACAACCACAAACTTCCTGAATTATTGTAGAAAGTATTTGGCAATAAATGGCATTAGGTCCTGAGCTAATAATATAGCTTGAAAGCTAACACTACAAATATTTTAATCATATGTAACGTTAGCTCTTGTCCTAATAAATATAGCTTGAAAGTTAACGCTACACATTTTTTTACACAAATGAAGTGTTAGCTCCTGAGCTAATGATGTAAATTGGGAGTTAATGCTACATTTATTTTTTTATATATGTAGCGTTAGCTCTTGAGCTAATAATATAGCTCGAAAGCTAATACTACGTATTTTTTATATATGTAGCGTTAGCTCCTGTGCTAATATAGTTCGAAAGCTAATGCTACATATTTTTTATTTATATGTAGCATTAGCTCTTGAGCTAATAATATAGTTCAAAAGCTAACGCTACATAATTTTTTTATATATGTGTAGCGATAGCTCCTGAGCTAATAATATAACTCTGGAGTTAATGCTACATATTTTTAATATTTATTTAACATTAACTCCTGAGCTAATAATATAGCTCAAAAGCTAACACTACAAATATTTTAATCATATATGTAACGTTACTTCCTGAGCTAATAATACAGCTTGAAAGCTAATGCTACACTTTTTTTTTTACACAAATGAAGTGTTAGATCCTGAGCTAATAATATAACTCTGGAGTTAATGCTACATATTTTTAATATTTATTTAACATTAACTCCTGAGCTAATAATATAGCTCAAAAGCTAACACTACAAATATTTTAATCATATATGTAACGTTACTTCCTGAGCTAATAATACAGCTTGAAAGCTAATGCTACACTTTTTTTTACACAAATGAAGCGATAGCTCCTGAGCTAATAATATAACTCTGGAGTTAATGCTACACATTTTTAATATTTATTTAACATTAACTCCTGAGCTAATAATATAGCTCAAAAGCTAACACTACAAATATTTTAATCATATATGTAACGTTAGCTCCTGAGCTAATAATACAGCTTGAAAGCTAATGCTACACTTTTTTTTTTACACAAATGAAGTGTTAGATCCTGAGCTAATAATGTAAATTGGGAGTTAACGCTACATTTATTTATTTTTTATATATGTAGCGTTAGCTCTTGAGCTAATAATATAGCTCGAAAGCTAATACTACGTATTTTTTTATATATGTAGCGTTAGCTCCTGCGCTAATATAGTTCGAAAGCTAATGCTACATACTTTTTATTTATATGTAGCATGAGCTCTTGAGCTAATATTATAGTTTGAAAGCTAACGCTACATAATTTTTTTATATATATGTAGCGATAGCTCCTGAGCTAATAATATAACTCGGGAGTTAATGCTACATATTTTTCTTTGTCTTTTTTTTAATTTAACATTTATGAGGCTTGTTGCTAGCTCGCCAAAGAGTGAGTAAATTAGTTGATGCGTTTCCTCTGCCTACATCTCCCAGAATGCTGTGCGGTTCTTGATACTGGATGTATTTTCTATTGATTATATATCATTATTTTACAGCCCAGCCCTAAATAATCATGCAATGCTTTAATTAATTAGAATCTGTTTCTGATTCATGTGTCACAAAGAACAACCTTTTTTAGAGCAGTGAAACAACATTAAGGCAAACATGTGACAATAGTTCATTAGTCTTTTGTGTCTGAGCACTTGGTCTGAATAAATCCTCTCATCCTGCCTCGACCAGCAGTGGAACACCCCGAGGAAAATGTTCAAAAGCATCCAGAAAAATTTGTCGAAGCTTCTTTAGAAAATTAAAGCGATTCATATCAATAAATGTCATTACTCCTGCCGCTCTGGGAAGCTTCACTCACCAGCGTGTGGTAGATTGATTTTGTGGAGTAATCTGCGAACTGCTGCGTTATCGTACACTTTCTGACGACTTAGTTGGGCTCAGAAATGTTTGTGTTTTTTATCTGAGGAGGATTATTAGAAAGAACAGCCTCTCTGCTGCGAGCCGCCGGGCTAAATTACATCATGCATCAAATCACCTGAAGAAAACCAGGAAGTCTCTCTGCTCTGCAGCAGCAGCAGAGAGACTCTCTCATGTCTGCATTCATCAGTTTTTATGTTTTTAAGTTATCTGGCTGTTCTACTCACCCATCTCCTCCTCCTCCTCGTCCTCCTCCTCCTCAGCAGGAAGCCCGTTCTCCTCCTGGCAGCAGACGCTCCAGCGGGACAGGACGTTGGAGTCGCAGAGGCGGAGGCTGAGCCACGAGTGGCACGGCGGCGAGTGCCTCATGTCCAGGGTGACCGGCTGGTTCCGGTCGTGGAGCTTCAGGGCCGGCACCAGCAGGGTGAAGTCCAGGTCAAAGTCGGCCCCTTTGGCGTACTCCCCCAGCTCCTCGGGGTTCAGGTCCAGGACCCCCTCTCGGGCTCCGCCTGACAGCAGCAGGTACTCGTTGGCCACCGGGAGGCGCTGGTCGACCTTCTGGACCAAACCTGGCAGAGATGAAGAGGAACGGGTTAAACCAGCCGAACCTTGACAGCTGAAGAACCCTGCTGATGGAGCTGAAACTGAGATTTTATAGCTGAAAGAAGCAGAGCATTAGGTAAAGGCTAAAAGAAATGTTAGCTAAGCTAAACGAAGCAGAAGGCTACAGGCAGTGAAACAGAAGCTACTACCTACAAATACAAAAAGACTAGCTAAAAGTGACAAAAACACAGCTAAAGACTAAGAAAATGTTACTTAAAAGTAGAAAAAGGCTAAATGTTTTAAAAGCCCAAAGCTAAAGAAATCAAAAGGAAAGCTAAAAGACGCAAGTAATAAAACGAGAGCTAAAAATCAGAATGGGAGCTAAAAAGCTAAAAAGTATTAACACATAAGCTAAAAGCCTAAATTAAAAAGGTAAGCGGATACAGAAGGCTAGCTAAAAGCAAAATTTAGCAAAAGGCTAACAGAAAGCTATGAAATGAAAATGCTAACTAAAAGTAGAGAAAGGCTAAATGTATTAAAAAGCCCAAAGCTAAAGGAATCAAAAGGAAAGGTAAAAGATTAAAGTAACAAAACGCAAGATAAAAATCGGAATGGGAGCTAAAATGCTAAACGTATCAATACGCTAGCTAAAAGCCAAATTTAGCAAAAGATAAATAAGCGTACAACTGGCTAGCCAAAAGCAAAATGTAGCAAAAGGCTAGTAAAAAAGCTAAGTAAGAAAAGGCTAGCTAAGAGTGCTAATTGTATAAAAAAGTTTAAAGGAATCAGAAGGGTAGCTAAAAGCTAAAAATAAAACTAAAGCTAAAAACACAAAATAAACTAAAAGGCTAAAGTAGCTAAAGTTTAGCTAAAAGTAAAAGTAGCAAAAAAAGCCAGCTTTAGTGGCACTCTTAGCTAGTGTTTGCTAAGAGTAAAAATAAATTGTAGCAAAATGCTAGCAACAAGCTGAAGGTAACAAAACCCAAGCAAAAAAAATCCAAACAGGAGCTAAAAGACTGAAAGTAGCAAAGTTGAGATATAAGTAGCAAAAGGCCATCTTAAAAGTGGCACTCTTTTAATTAGCGTTTTGCTAAGTGTAGCAAAACATTAGCTAAAAACTAAAAGTAGCAAAAGGCTATGACACTTTATCTAAGCAGAGCTGGATGATTGGAACTTTATTTTATTTATCTGTATATTTATACAATTATCTACCTATGGATCTTTGTATTTTCTACTTTGTACATTTTTTCTTTTCTGTTTTTACTCCTTTATTTTAAATTTGTTTTTCTCTTTTTAATACCCTGAGTGCAATAAAAGGTGGGTAGGCGGTGGATGGGTGGGGGGTGTTCAATGTTTGTTTTAATATTTGTTTTAATATTTGTTTTAATATTTGTATTCTATGTTCACATATATAAAAAAGTCAATAAATATATTATTTTAAAAAGGTTAGCAAAAAGCTAATTAAGAAAATGCTAGTTAAAAGCAGAAATGGTTGGCTGAATGTATCAAAAAGTCAGCTGAAAGTTCAAAGTATCAAAAGGCTATCCAGAAGCTAAAAGCAGCAGTATGCCAGCTAAAAGCTCAAAACAGCTAGTTAGCCACACGTGTAGCTAATTAGCCACATAGCTTTAGTTAAAATAATGGTAGAAATAGACGATATGTGGCTCGTTTGTTTTGCTAAAAGAGAAGATCAGATTAGAAATAACTTCTTACTGTCACTGGATTATAAACTCCAGAGATTATATGAAAGATAATCTGTGTTTGTTTTAACTTGTTCAAGTAAATTCAGTAGAATTTAAAGCCTGAGATCAGAGAACATGGAGTTATTTATAAAATAACGTTGGAGAAACAGATCTGTGCAATCAGACATTTTCTTGTTACATTTTAAACCACAGATCCTCAGAGAATAAAAAAAATGTTTCCTGAATCTACAGTTCTGAACGGTTTATGTAAGAGAAACTCAAACCTCCAAATCCCTTTACAGCTACTTAGCTGTTTTGTTAGTTTTAAGAGACAAAACAAAACAGAGAAAGCACATCCAAGTGGTTCGAACACAACTTCCCCCTGCTGGAGGTCAGAGGTGAAGCATGAAACCTGCTTTACAGAGGAGAGATCGGTGAGAACTTCGGCTGTTATCGGCCGGAGGGGGGGTTAAGTGGCTCCAGAGAGGAGAAACGAGGGCATCGGACCAAGCCGGCAGGCCACGGCTGGGGGCACAAAGCTGCTACTATGATCCCCTTCATCCTGTTACATGGGCACAAAGCCTTGGTGGCAGCGGGCCGTGTGCTGTTTTCATGTAGAGGCATGAGAGTGTGAATGTAAAACCAGACTGAACGATCAGCACAATCCCCGAAGCAAGAAGTGAAGTTACTGGAAATATTTCATTTTATCAAAATATATCACTGAACCTGATTTATTAGCTGGTTTTAATGAAAAGGTCCTTTATGACTACTGACTGGGACCTTCTTGGTCAAAGAAAGGTTCAACTGAGAACCCCATCCATCCATCCATCCATCCATCCATCCATCGTTCCAGAGTTGGGTTCTCTTCAAGGTCCTCCAGGAGAATTTTAAGACATTACCGGGCCAGTCCAGAGCCTAGAACCATGCTCAGAAGACGTTCCTAAACACGGCTGCGCAGACAAGTTTGTCTTTAAATTCCCTCCATACATTATTTTTTATGGATTTCATTAGCTGGTCCCTTAATAAATTTTTGGAACAAAGTTTTTTCTTCCATGGGAGGACATGTCAAAGGTGGGACCTCTGTTCTGGATATATATTTGGACTCCGATCACTGGATTCTACAGTTTGGCTTGGTGGTCTGCTGATGTTCTACAAAACAGCGTCGGTGGCTATTCAGGCCATTTCCTGGCTGCCTGACCAGTATGAAGAAGGATTGCCGTTCTATCAGCACTCAGACTTTTGCCTTGAGCGAGCTGGACTCTTTCTAAAAGCAGTTCTGTTGAGGGTCGCGGGCCGGCTCTGGTTCCTGGACATGCTACTTCACTTGGAGGTACGGGGGTGGGAGGGTCAAAGGTTGGCTCTGCCTCCATGTGTCTGACTAAACCGAGGCAGTCCCAGACATACATGAGGCCATAGTCTCGTGTTCAGGGTCTTCTTCCATTTGGACATGCTCCATCAGAACTGCCGAAATCGTCTCATTGACGGTCTTTTTCGCAGTCTTCCACCTCTACTTGTCACAGACCGCCGGGAGAACTTTTCACCTCCGTCTTTATAAGAAACTATCGTGTGATTGGTCAGAAGTTTGTGGGTGTGTCCGTTAATGCTGAAAGAGCTCGGACGCTGCGCTTTGCTTCAACAACTCCCCCTTCCAGAATCTGACTGTTGTACCCAGAAACAGATAGGAGTCAAATGGTCGAAAACTCATGGAAGGTCTGTGAGAAAACCAGTGTTGAACAACGTAACCACTCGTTGAATGTTTGGCTTTGAATGGAGTACATCAGGCCTTTTTGTGTACCCCTAGTCTGGATTATACCCGAGTCTACAGGATTATACCCCAGGAGTACTATAGCCTAGAATGATTTACACCCCTCAAACCAGATTATACCTCTATGACTGAGCTCTTCAACACTGTTCATGATCCACTGTAGTGGTTTCCCTGCTTCAACACACCTGATTCAATTAATCAATCAGAACGTCGCAAAGTTTATCAGAAACCTGTCAATCACTCATCAGTGTCAGTCAGGTGTGTTGAAGCAGGGAAACATCTAAAGCATGCAGAACTCAACACTATGCTGAGAACGTATGATGGGTACATTCTAACTCAGCTGTTTTTGTTTTTTATCTCCTGGTGAATACTCTGGCCTGGATTAAATTAAACCCAGGTTTAATCTGGGCAGGGGTTCATTTGGCTCGAACAGATGGAGAGGAAAAAAATGTCTTAAAGAACAATTAATTTCTCTTCCTGCATCATTTTTCAGTTTCCACAAATTCTGCAATAAGTTTGAAGTGTCTGAAAAGAAAATTCCACAATTTATTTTTAATCGAAACTCCTAAGTAGACAGTTGCACACTGCACACGCACGCACACACACACACACACACAC